CATTTATCACATTTAATGGAATCAGCATTTACCTTATTAAAACGGTTGTGTTGAATTTTTAAGTTTATGACTCATGCATCTGAATTTAAATAAAACTCGTAAGAGATCTTTATCATAGCAAAACTCTGATATATATTTTTCCGGTTCAAGTACAGATTTATATGATGAGTAATGATTTAAGAATGATCAAGAAGTGATTTTTTGCATACCAATTCTGTATATCTATATCTTTACATCTCTGTTTAAAAACACTTATAAAACTTGTTACATCGCCACAATCTTGCGATAACCACACAAAAGAAAACCCAGAGTGAAATAAAAGTAAACGTACATGGATACCCAGTTGCGACCACCATTGTCGTCGTATGTTTTAACATTTCATAACATGCCTTTGGAATACGATAACTTTCCATATTCAGGAGTCTACACCAGTACTTTATACAACGGGTGAAATACTGTACACAAAGATGGCTTCTACCTGTTTCACCGAGTACAATATTTGAAGATACAGTTTTGCTAACACGAAGATATCTTTTGAAATAATAACTTTGTATTTTTTCAATGTTTGCACGATAGGTAAACCCCCATATTTCTGCACCATAAAGCAGAATCGGTGCAATTTTGCTATCAAATATAGTAGATGCCACATTCAAAGAGATATTTTGATAAGTTCTGAAAAGAGAAAATATCGGAAATGAAGCCTTCCTAGCTTGTAAAGCTAATGTTTCACATGCTTTAGACCAGTACAATTTTGATGTGAAAACAGTAACATACAACTTTATGGATGACAACTTCTTGTTTATTGGATAGCGCGAGATTCTTACACCGTTATCAAACATTTTTGTTTCGATGTAGATTTTCAGACCGTTATCAACGTTTTAGCTTTATAATATGCAATAAACAAGAAGCTGTCATCCATAAAGTTGTATGTTTCATTTTTTACTCAACAACTTCTAGAATGCCGATCAAACAATTAGTATGTTTTGTAGGCTTTCTCTAGGTCAAACGAAATTGAGACTATGGCATATTTACAAGCATTCCAATCGTACTAAATGATCAATAGTACTTCTATTTTTCCGGAAACCACATTGTATGTTTGGAATTAAGTTATTGCTGTCTAGATACGAAAATCACTATCGTAGTGATTTAAAAACATCGTAGTGATATAAACAGGACTCTCTATTGTGAGGAAAGAAATAGACACAAGCCCTTTGGTAGAAGATATAGACCAGACTTGCGTAAACGAAATGTTGAAAGATTATGCAACGCAAGTGGTTCACAACAGCGTTTTGGAAACAAATACGAAAATCAAGAATAGAACAAACAGGCAATAGAATCACCAAAAACCTCATGGCTTACTCATTTTAAAAAGGTTTTAATACTGACTCTGTTTTTTTATGATTCTTTCACAAACACTAATATGCAAGACGATGCAATAAGTATCTTACATAGATTACGGAAACAATAAATTCCTGAATGTTACCTCTCCAAGTCACCTACTGAAGCATTTAAACAATTCCTGTCTTCTAATGACAACTGTATCAACTAGAAATTATCGCAATACATTTACAATGCAATGTCTAAGCTTGATACTCTGTTAAAGAACGAATAAACTGTTTTTTGTACTCTTTTAACCATTACATATGAAAGACGCATGGTTAGTCTTAAGCGGAACACAAAATTCATTCCTAAATTTAATACTTAATACCGAGCGATTAAAAGTCGTCTGCTTCACTCTTGCCCGCCAACGGCAAGGTAAAGTCTGTAACAAGCTCGTCATTTTGCTGATTTATCGACGTCAATAAAGACATGCCGAATCGTCGTGTTGCCGCCAATTGCTCCCAGGGGTCGGGTGATGGTGTCACCATGCACATATGTCCACCGGACCCCACAGTTGTCCTAAATGGGTTATGTTTATGAGTGCAATGCGACCGTTGTGGAAGCCTATATTTGTTTTCATCGAAATTTTGCATCACACAGCTTGTATCATAACGATATATAACCGTTATGACAACAAGAGATTTTGACAGAATCGTCTATGAAAACAAGTTGTAACTCGGAAGCTAGGCAAAGAAGGTGACAAGATCAGATGACAGTAGATTGTGAAAACATAAAGCTTTCATTTTTTTCACAACAATTGCCACGATTGAGCCTGTAGTATATAAAAAATCGGATGGCTTGATCCCTAGTTCGCTTTCCAAGATAGAAAATGCTCCTTAGATTTGTTTTCATCGAGTTACAAAATCAAAACTACTTACTAGTTGTATTAAATGATTGATGACCAAAAGGATTGTGCATGACACAACTTGTCACATAACGATTACTTCCTCGGAAGCGAGGTTGTGGTCGAAGTGACAATAATATTGTAAGTAGTCTTATATTGGCACTCATCTCGCTTCCAAGAGTGAAATTGTTATGTCATAAGCTATGTCACGCAAAATCCTATTGGCCATCAATCAAATACATATTTTACTACCAGTAGAAAGTAGTTTTGATTTTGTAACTCGGTGAAAACAAACCTAAATAGCATTTATTCTCAGGCTGGCGGATGTTCTGGACAGGGAGCCGCCATGTTTAGAGATTGTGACGTCACGGGCTAAAGTCAGTTCGAGAATCAATTAGATTATGGTTTGTTTTCATCAAGTTAGAAAATCAAAACTACTTCCTATTCGTAGATAAATATGAATTTGAATCATGACCAAAAGGATTTTGCATGACACAGCTTGTAACATAACGATTTATAACTGTTATGACAACAAAAGATTTTGACAGAATCGTCTATGAAAACAAGTTGTAACTCGGAAGCTAGGCAAAGCAGGTGACAAGATTAAATGACAGTAAATTGTGAAAACATAAAGCTTTCATTTTTCACAACAATTGTCACGATTTCAGGTTTGGACAAACCTGTAAACAAGATAATTTACACACAGGCATACCTCACATTGCGTCATGGAGACGCGCCCCTCTGATTGGTTGGAATTTCGTTCGCGGGAGACAATTGTGTAAGAGGTCGATTTAAGGTAATTAAATGTCGAAATGAGTAGTTTTAATGACGGGGTTGCAGTAATAACGATGCCATTAAGTGGTTTATGTATTTGTACCCACCTAGAGTATATGGGATCTTTAAGACCATCTGTGTACTCCAGCTGTATATGATTGTATAAAGCATGCAACTCCATGAAATACAATAAACATATTTTTGACTTTCTTTATACCAGTAGCTATGTGTCCGTCGGTTTCGTGGCTTCTTTAGTTGACAAAAGGTTCGTGTGTTTACAGAGTACAGTGATAAAGATCCTGTATTGAAATTAGTAACATGTCCGTACATTGCAAATATATTTCTTATGCTAACCTTGAACATTGGTGCTAGTATTGCCTGTCAGGAAATCAATGGCAGAGAGTTCAATAAGTTGGTTTGTATTTCGTGTAGATTGCCAAAATGAGACTAAAGGGTTAACCGGGAATCAGTCCGTAAATTAACTCAACAAATAACAAAGACATGAGCTATAATTAACCACGGTATTCTAAAGTTAACTAAGTTAACAAATCAATACAAAACAATGCAAATGTATCACTATAGCAAAAGAAAATAGTATGACAGTACAAAGGAATACAACCCAAATGATATTGAATACTTGGAAATCATTACATTTACAACAATAATAACTCTATTTCAAACATGAATCATGCCACTTGACATCTTATTGTTTAGTGCACAGATGTAGATTCTTACACCCTTATCAAGCTAAAAGTGACTACAACCATGTGATGAGAAGTATATTTACTTAGTATGATATGACAAACTGCACATTACCATTATCAACGGCATGGAATTGAAAAGCAAGAGGCAAATAATAGGATAAGTCCAGGTGGGGACTAAGAACAACAAATATCATAGGTGACGAAGCAGGAGGGATGTAGTAGTAAAAAAAGTTCATAGGGTGCTATGATAGAGTCTATAGCTTGAATAATTCGTCTTTATGTCACTCATAAATTTGTGGGCTTCATTTCTGACTAACGTCAAGAATGCCGACCAAACAATTACTACTTCAAACGTCAAAAAACGGCTTGTTACTACTTAGTATTTACAACAGATTTGAGTATGGCTTCGCTGTCTACAGGCCTTACAACAATCCGTGTTAATATCCAGTTTGACTTGACGTATTCGAAATTCCTGATAAAGTTGCTGCTGGCTAAAACATGTTTGTCTTCCGTTTGGTTGCCCAATCATGATTGAATCGTTGGTCGTATAATGTTTGCTGCTGCTGCCTAGGTAGCACTTAACAGATCAGTCATATATCTTCCTGTATCATAAGTGACTGTTACTACTTGCCATTTAGAAAAGTGAAACACATGGTATATTTGAGATTACATTTTCTTAGTAAACAGATTCTAGTATTTTGTGGAAGCAGCTGTGGCTAACTGGGTCAGATAGCTAAGTTTTTGCACTGGCGATTAGGTGCCAGACTCTGGGAGTGTGGGTACGAATCCCCGATGGGACTCAGCCCAACAAAAGTATTAAGCTCTGTACTTTGTTGTAATCCCAAACATAAGATGTGTTACATTTGACCACTTTCTAAATGGCACTCTGTATTCACGGTATAGGATTAATTTGCATATATGCTTACTTGTGAACGTATTGTCTCCATAGGAAATACATATGTTTACATAAAATGACGTTGATAATTCGGCTGTAGAATTCGGCTCTTTCGATAGTTTTGCGGTGGTGATTTGGATTTTTTTAGGAAATGAACGTTTAATGCTGAGGAAGTGTGTTTCCAGTTGACAGTAACCCAGGACCAATGTTTGTTTTGACGATGTCATTATGAGTTAAGAATGAAGCTCAAGAATTTCACAGGCCCAGTGGTTTATGTTCACTGTCATTCAGTACTTGAACGTTGCTGACTGGTAAGCTTTACAATGTAGAATTGAAATCAGGCACGAACAGTAACATAGAAACTTTATAAGCAACAGAAATAGTAACTTTGTAGTGGAAATACCAGCGATCAACAGCATGAACAACAACAACAACGGTCTTGTCTGGAGTCCAAGTAATCCGTTGGCTTGCGGATCTGAAATGAAATGGAAAGTTCTGCAGACTGGGTTGATTGCTTACATGCGAGCTGCTCGGACTGCGTGTTGTCGATGCAGCAACACTGTGCCATAATTTGAACATACAAATGATCATCATCATTGAATCATCGTGTACCGAATTTCCCAATATACTTCAGATGGATTACAACGCTATTCCTCACGTTTCGGAACTTTTTTTAACTGGTCGGAATCTGATGGCGGACCGTGACGGTCACGACTTTGAGCTCTCTCTCAGTGAAAATCAGGATATATTAGATAACAGTGTTGAGAAAACATACTCAGAACTGACAAATGTGATTCTAGATGACGTAGGACTGTTTTCCACGCACGCAGAAGTTGTGGATATGGATAGTACACAGAATGGAACCCAGCATGAGGATAAAGGATTCTCACAAACAAGAGACGAGGACAGAGACGACACAGGTCACAGTAATCGTGAGTTTGTGGCATTCTTAAACGATAGCCAGACTATGAATTTACCAAAACAGACATTTATTGAACAGTTACGTGACTGTGTGAAATGTGATTTACATGAACTTGAAATGTGTCGATTTGAATTGTACACAAAAGCAAGACAAAAAACTGATTTTCCTTATCAAAATGATAATTTGAAAAAGCGGCTGCATCCGAGAAGGAAAAACGGGGAATGATTGTTTCTATCTTTTACGGGCATGTAATGGAGAATTCAGTGAGGAATTGTGTGACATGTTTTATGTGCCTAAAAAGTCCAAAGAATCTGTCAGCCAGTGTTCCGATCATGAAAAGTGTTCGGCACAAATTAGAGTACAAAAGTCCATTGTTGTGAAGTTACATACAGACCTATTGTCTCTTCGCGGAGAGTATGCTCAAGACGTGGACTTGTTCTCTAGACTAATCAAAGACAATGCCCGTGAAATAAATGACCTCAAGGAGATTGTTAAATCCCAAGCGGCCATCATTCAAGACTTATCGGCAAACATAACAGCACTGTGAATGAGTCCACTCGAACCCCTGATGAGGAGATAGCAGAGCTTAGTACCCCCGATGATGAGAATGCAGGTATCAATGTCGTTGGACAGACGTCAACAGAAATTGTATGTGAAAAAGTCAGTAGTACCATTAATCCAGACTTGACACCTCGCATATCCATTGAAAGCCAATCGTGTGATATATGCGGCCATTCGGGCAATGGCGTCACTAGATCTGAGAAACAGGGCAGTAAGAAACATGTTATTGACAGTATGGTGGATAGGTTAATCCAGTGTTCACAGTTATCATTCTTTTCGGAGCAGAATGATTCACAGACACATATGGATGATGTAATGGATTACGTGGAGAAAAGTGACATCTTCCAAAGCGTTAATGGAGAACAAAACAACGTGTCCACATGTCGTCGTACCCAGCTGAACAAATCATATGATATTCAGGTAACCTGTAACACAAACGAAGAGAATACCAGGCAAGTGAAATCTGTGAAAAGGAAAAGAATTCAGAGATTCAGAGGAGTAGTGAGTGGAAACCGGGTAGCTAGTTTCTTCATTGGAGGAATAGACAAACGGTGTAAAAGCGCAATGAGGGACTTTCTTCAGGATAAAGGTGTCCGGGTTACACATCTCCGCTTTAATTGTAACCCTAACAAGAGATCAGCGGGGGATTGAACGTTCCTACAGGCATGTCATAAAGACGATCCAAGGCCTCCCAAAGAGAACTAGGACTGATGTGTGTCTTGGTCTCCTGGGTTTACTACCTCTGGAAGTTGAGATAGATAAAAAGAAACTCTTGTTTGCCGGAAACCTCATAAACATGAACACATCTTACCTTCCACACCAGGTGTTTCTGACAAGGTTACTGTGCTTTGTTCATGGTGTGTGTGCACAACCGAGAGGTTTCATTCCTGATCTGATGAGACTCCTCCAGAAGTATCAGTTGACAAATGTGCTAGAAGACTACTTGTCAACTGGCATAATTCCACGTAAGGCTTCTTGGAAACAAAGTGTGAAAGCCGCTGTTTGGAAGTTCTATTCCGCCTCTTGGACTGATAGGATAACGGTTGAACCAGATCTCCAGTGGTTCGCACAGATACACAGAGATCTGTGTGTTCATCCAGCATGGACATTGTCACTGGAAGATCACCTGTACCGAACCACGTCCAAGTTCCTGGTGCAGTTATGTTCCAGCATTAGATACATTAAAGATACTGTGTACCTGTGTGAGGAGTGTGGACGGTTATATAGTGATGCGTGTGTTCATGCTGTCGTGCAGTGGGATAATTTACTCTCTGTGAGAGATCAGCTGTGGTGTGAACTGATCAACATTGGTCCTTTGGACTTCAGTGCATGGTTCCACAACTTGTCAGACATTGAGATGGTGTTGTGTCATGTAGGCCTCAGTATGGACTTAATGCAGAGGATCAGAGAACATTTACTAGTGTGGCTGTAAGGTACATTCATCTGATGTGCAGAGAAGTCACACAGCACTGAGCAGTGCAGCCAGCTTTCTGAGAGACTCTATGTCACATAACAATGTGACTGTGGTGTAAATATTACCTTTTTGCAACTTGTACATGTACTCTCCCAACTTGGAGGATAAATAAATAAATATATATATATATATATATTATATATATACAAATGATCATCATCATTGAATCTCCGTGTACCGAATTTCCCAATATACTTCAGATGGATTACAACGCTATTCGTCGTTTCGAATAACTATGTATTGATATTCTAAGTGTTACATCTACACACAAGGAGTTAATCGTAAGAGGTGACTGGATGGTCAGGTTCGCAGACTTCATTGATGCATATCATCATATTCCAACTGCATGGACAGCTGTCACAGAGAGCTGGAATATTGCTGAGCGCAGTGTCAACAAAGGAAACAATAAACTTGGACTGATCAAAAGGTGACTACTATAAACCGTTTATAACATTCTTACCTACATCAATTACTTTCCAATTTGTGATGTTAACTTTTGGTTTCTCCCAACACAACATTAATTCCAGATGCAAATTGCACACGGAAGCATAACATTTCTAACAAAAGAAATAATGTTATTTCAACATCTGGTAGTTTTCTTGCCTGCCAAACAGTCCCTCTGCAAACTGTGATAGATGAACTTTTCAGAAGTGTTGAAATGTTTGCTCATTAGCATTATCTTCTTATTTATAATTCTCACTTCTAGTGGAATGTGAGAGAAAGCAACAATCTCTCTCAATCTTCTTTCGGTCACTCAGTTTGCCAATATTGAGGTGGTAGTATCCCCTCATAGAACGCTTAACTCATGTCGAGGCATTATTCGAGACAGAGATCGGTGCCTGTCCGACATGTCTGAACAAGAAATTCAATCTGAACTAGAAGATCAAGGTGTAACATCCATTAACTCATTAAGCCCGAGAGCCCCATCACTACTCAACACCTGGAAGCCCTCGCTGATTGCCCACTCTCTGTGCCGACACTAATTAGTGCTAGTCACACCTGATTTCCCTGGCTGGTTTCGGGGATCACAGGAAACTGTCTAGTCGTACAAACAAGTCCTGATTGTTTAATTGTGTCGTAAAGATATATGTTGAAAGAAATCAGGTGTGAATACATGTCGTGTATTGCAAGCTTTATGTAATTTTATTGCAAGTTTCTCTTGTAGACCTTTTGTCGGCTTGTACATTTATATTTTATCACAATATGCATACACATGTATTCTTTGTATGTAACAGATGAGACACACGTTAACAAATTCTCTCTCTTATATCATTGTGTGAGGTTTAAATTTACAAAACATCTATGACAATGACATACTGTAAAGAAGAATTTACTTTCATACTTTATAATCTGTGACGAAAATAGCGGTTCTGCCGATACATTTCGTGTGTTTACGAATGATTTTAATGAAAGTACTATAAGGCTAGTCTGTGACTAGCACAAAGCACATCAATAGCATTGCACTTTATTTCATACAGATTTAATGCAGAAAACATACGTGACCATACAAACATACATATACAAAATGTATACTACATATTCCTTGCATAGACATAAAACAAAGAGTCACGTGATAGGGCGTCATCAAATTTCCCGAATAGAACGTTCGGTATCAATGTAGTGGCTGGTCATATGTTATCTGCGACCAATCGTATCATGAGATACCTGTCACAGAGGAAAGGACAGGTGACGGGGCGTGGGCGAAATTTCTGAAGAGCACGTTTGGTCACTCAGCAGCTTGGATAGAGATTGGTTATTGGCTATATCGTTGACCAGTCGATATGCTGGGTTTCGGCTTTATCAACTCAAGCTATCATGTAACAGTTTGTGTATTGTAAACATACAAACTGGTAACGATGTATGAAATACACACATACGACAAATAGGAGTAGATAGTCACTTTGGCGAGTTTATTTGTCCTCATTTTAGTGTTTTTCGATAAGTAAAACAAAGCGATTGAAATCCAACCACTGAGTAGAGGTAGTATTTATTTTCATATACATTTTATGCACACAACTAGTCCATAAGACATAATGGTTTCTGTACATGTAAATATAATCTTCACCTTGATACGAATGACTATCCAAACTAGAGTACACGCATTACAGAATTCACGAGGTGACACTATACTGAATTATTATAGTGTATAAACTTGCAGTTGACACCCCCACTCCCAATATTTATGAAGGTGGGCGTGCCTATATCTTTACTGAATGCAAACGAGGTTCATAAGATTACAGATGTGCATGCACGTATAAACATCACAGAGAGGGGCGTGACTACATAAAGCAAGATGTCCAATGATATAACAGCGCATCTGTTTATTTTACACTTGTCACGGGACAAACCTTTCAACAAGGACGTAACTACATATGCATTCTACCGGAGGCTGTTATGTCAAGGTCGAAAGAGGCTTTCAATTATCTCATTACTGTAATCTGCTTGAATGTGTATCGATACCGTAACTGATATACTATCCAGCTTTTATTGACGATGGATCAATAGAGACTGAGTTGAT